GAGAGCCCCCCCCCCCCCCCCCCCCCCTCCATATTTTCTATGCTGTGTGCGTTCAGGAGTTATCGAATGGGCCCACGGATGCGCTGGCACGGCTGACACAGGAGAAGATCCAATCCCTGCGTTTGTGCCTCATCACGAACATCCTCGATGATGAGCAGGTCGCATGAGGCAAGACTCCACCCAGCAGCTGTTGCTGCTGCATACATGCCGCTGCTGTGACGGCTTGGCCCCGTTCAATGTGTTTGTTGTATCTGCACCTACGGCTGCCACCGCTGCTGCTGCTACCACTACTGCTGGTGCTGGTGCTGGTGCTGGTGCTGGTGCTGCTCGTGGGTCCATCGAGAAGTAGGCCGGGACATGTCAAAGAAACAGTCAGTCGAGAGGAGCTGAGTCAAGGCGCTCACTCTAATGTTGTTAGTCTCGCGCGGCCACTCGGCAGACCCCACGCGACACTCCGCGGTCATACCATATGGGAGTCACAAGAGCTCGGCTTTCCTCTCTGCGTTAAGCTGGTTTCCCACCGAGCCCATCGCATAGTTGACCACTAAACGAGGCATCGTCGTGGCTGAAGCCAGCCCAACTTCCACCAGGAGGCGTGCGGGTATGCTAAATCGCTGCGAGTGGTTGAGTTGTTCGAGCCGAGCGCTTGTGACCGACGGGGGCGACGCAGAATGGATTCAGTTTTTGGCCTGACGGAGGCCGGACGGGTCTGGGGCCGGGGGTCGGGGTTGTGTATTTAGCGCTGTAAAATCCTAGAGAAAGAAGTCGAATGTTTGGTGTGTTGTGTTTGTGAGTGGCAGTCGAAGCGCCTACACGAAAGAACGGCCTCTGGCTGAGCAAGAAGCGAAGCAAGCGTCCGTGCTTTGGTATCCCTCTCTCTCTCTCTGCTGTTTCGACAGGCGGCGGTTGGTGATGGTGGAATACTTTGTTGGCGGCCGAAGCGAGGTTTGGTACACCTCTCTGCTGTTTCGAGAGGCGGTAGGTTGGTGGTGTGCTTGGATTGATTGCCGGCGGCATTTGGGTTTGTTGTTCGCCTCTCATCAAGTTGGCGTTAACCGGTTGGTTGCACACGGTGGTGTTTTTTTTTTTTTTTGCCACGCCGGGTTGCTCGTGGAAGTTATACTTTGTTGGAACCCAACTTTTTTTTTTTTTATCAATCGGGAGTTTTCGACATCAGGTCCTGTAACTTTTGGGTCTTGTGTGGCACGCAAAGCTATTCTATCCCCTCGCCATCTCGTAGGAGGTTCGCTTCACGGGGGGCGGAAATTAACCTCACGCCGGTCTCTAGGCATGGCGTTCGCGGATGACACTACCTGTGTTTCTACGGTTCCCCGAACACCATGCAGCAGTACCTCCCCCGTGGGTAACAGGCTCAACAAGATCGTTTGGTGATCATGTTGTTTCAAGCCGGTTTGCTTTGTTGTTTGTGTCGGTGCGTGCGCGCGTGGTTTTGGTGTTGGTTCATGTCCTATGAGCAGGTGACTGCACTGGTCCGTACGACGGATTGGGTTGACAGTGAAATGTGATTGGTTGGGTGGTTGAGTTGTTTGATTTCGTTTTTGTTTGTGACGAACTTGGGTGCGAGAGGAGGGGGGCGTGGGAGCCCGTTGTGTCTATTTGTGGGATTCCGGTTGCGCTTTTACTGTTGGCGCCCTTTGTGTTGCTCATTGGGGCGGGTGTGCCGTGCACACAGGGGTACCTGGAAGGCCCTTTCGTGTGTGACAAGTGGTGAAGTAGTAAAATCAAATCACAAAGCTCGCGTGCTGCATTCTCTGGTCGCAGTTGGCATAGCCGCGTAACCTTCTGACTACCTCGATTGTGGTTTCGAATATCTCTGGAGTGGAGACTAGGTTTTCTAGGGATGGAAAGCGCCTACTCGCGGCAGTCAAAAGACAAAAAAAGAAAGACTGCGGTTGTATCTCGAGCGGGTAGTCTTTCTGTGCTTGAAAAACATGTATTCTATAAAAAAGATTTGCTGAACCCTTCTTGCGTTACCAACTCAAGGCAAGCACCGCAGGGGGATAATCCGAGGCAGGAGAGACACTCTCCAGTGTCCACTGCCTTCCTGGCTGCGAGACCCCGACTGGTGCGCGAAACTTTATACCCAAAGGCGGACGCTAGGTATACTGGCGACCAAATAGACGGGGTAAAAATGCACAGATACAACCGCACAACACTCCCACCACATGCTTTCAGAGCCAACGTGGGCAGGGATGGGAGTGGGGGGGGGGGGGGTGATAGGGAAGAAGGATATCCCCTCATCCTTCAATCAATGAAACATGAACACCAGCTCTTGACTCCAAGACACCAAACCCGGACCTGGGGAGATGAAAGCTAACACAGAACGGCCACGAAATCACTCTGCCAGGGAGGAAAAAGCCCATCCCGCATGCATAAGCCATGCAACTGCTGTTTCCGGTGAAGGATGCTCCTCCGCTCCGGTTGGCCAGAACTGCCAAATTGTCGAGGAGACCCTAGCATGCTGTACCACTTTTCGCAAAATAAAACATTTGGTGCATCTCATCGGGGGACGTACGGCCGCACTCGGCACGACGCCCCCATCGCCTCCGCCAACTCCCGGGCACGCCGCAAGTCCACCCCGTGTCGGTCAACCACCGTACACTCCGTCGCCACCCCCCGGGACGCGCACTCCTTTACCAGATCACACACATAACTGTGGGCTCCTGGTCCTCCCCCTTCCTCCTCCAAAAGCCCGTCCGGTGATGGATTCATGAGCTGGGATTGAGACAGAACGTGGGCCGGTGGTTGGTATGTTATTGGTGAGGCGGGAGGCGGTGGGGGCAGGCAGGGGGGACGAACGTTCCCGTCCATCGAGGAAGGGACGAACAGACACACGCGAAGCTTAGCAGCCCGGCTGTTCTCTGTTTTTATGGGCGCTCACAGCAGTCTTGATTTTAGCACGAGCACGTCATGGGCGTTCACAGAAGTCTTGATCTTCACACGTTTACGGCGTCTTGCCCTGGTCGTGCGAACGTGGAGAGCGACGCGAACTTGCGCGCGCGAAAACACACATAAAGGTGCTCCTATTAGGATGTATGATTGGCGTTGACACGCGACATTCTTCTAGCGGGGATCTTTTCGTGTATGTTTGTTTTCAGTACCACCTCAACCTACCGGGCTTTTACAAAAACATGGAGAAGACGCGATGAAGAAGCAAGCGATTCGAACGTGGTGTTGGAGGACCTCTGGCAAGCAGGTCTCGTCGCGGAAATGGTCGGTCAGTCACTGCTTGTGCTGCCCTTAATCAAGCCTGTCTCTCTCTGTGGAGAAAAATATCTGCCGTCAACAAGGAGGGCGATGACACGAGAAGATGGCGTGTTCATGACCAAACTCATGGGAAAAAATAAAAAATGATAATTCCCACGGGGGGGGGGGGGGGGGGTCGTGCCTGCTTGTCTGCATGTATATCTCTTAAAACCTTCCCCCTGCTTGTTTGTTGATACGACAGGAGGGAGTAATGGCGAAAAAGGGTTGTCACCATCCAGCAGACGCCCAAGGCGCGAAAAACACGCCATGGACGGGCCGGAGCCAATCGTGTTGACGTTTAATCTGTGATCTGATTGGCCGGCTCTTACTCCATTCTGCGCCAACGCGAGCGGGCTCGCTCACCTCTTGGTACTGTTCAGGGTCCGCCGTGTTGAGCGCCACCGACACCGAATCGAAGACCTCTGCTATCTGCCTCGCTACAGAGGCGGCGCTGGGGCTAGCCACCGCCCCCCGCTCCGCAGAACCGCTGCGGTCCGCGATGCCCCCGCTCGTGCCCGATGCCGCACGGACCTTGAAATCGCCCCCCCCGACGCCCCCGCTCCCTCCCATTCTCCGTCTTCCCTGCCGATCAACATTACTCTTCGCCTCTCCGATATCTCTGGAGGTGTCAGCTTCGGGGGAAGGCGGGCCGACCACCTGTTCGTCCACCGCCACCACCGGCCACAAACCATTGGTGACCAGGCGTATCGGCATCGCGTCGTCCTGGCTGGGGCGTGTTGCCGCCGCGCCGCCGGTGGGGGTAGCGTCGGCGCTGCTACCATCCACCTTGCTGTTCTCCGCAGAGCGTGGTCGAAGAAGGTTAGCGTGGCGAGATCTCAGGGACATGACCACCTGAGCGGCGGCGCCGGCGTGTGTGTCACGGACAGACGGCACGTGTCAAAACAAATTGCGGCTGCGAGGGATCCTCGCTTGCAAAGCACAGCAAAGGGCGGAAAATGTTGTCTGGGCTTTCGATTACGCCCCCCCCCTCCCTGAAGAAACCAACTCCAGTGATGTACTTTCCTCCTGTGTGACCCCGGTTGGTTCGTCAATCATGATGCCGAGAGTTGTAGACAACTGGGTGCCCAGAATAGATGGGACGAAAACAAGCATTCCCCGTGGGTTGGCAATGCTATTCCCCATGGGTGGGCAATGCTTGCCGTAAAAAAGAAACTGCCTGAGGCACTTACGTCTCTGACGACAGGCCACCGAAGCAGGGGCTCCCCTACCCCCGCGAAGACGAGCTCGTCGAAAAGGCCGCCCCCCGCCCTGAGCAACGCCATCAACACAACATACGGCGTGGAAGAGAATACGTACCACCAGCAGCAGCAGCAGCAGCAGCAGCAGGGCGAGTTGTTTTGTTCCGGCGGCGTGGGTCGAAAGAATTGACGCGCACAGGTCGACATCGGGCATGGTATTCGTGTGTCGTCCCGCATATCTAGCGGTCGCACACGCACCACACACCCTCCGTTTTTTTCACCACCACCTTTTTGCCTATCGCTTTTTTTTTTTCCCGAGAGCCCCCCCCCCCCCCCGGTCAAGCACCCTCGAGGCAGTTACACAGTGCTTATAACTGTCTCTAGAAGTGAAAGCACCAGAAAATAAATTATGCCATACGCAGCTGTCATCCGTACGCAAGGAAGTAAGCACAAGATGCCGAACACCCCTAGCAGGATGCAGCGCACCCTTCATTTTTTTTTTTTTTAATCTTCACTTCAAATCAGCGCTCACAGCACTAGTGCCGTTTACTCCAACCCGTGGTCACACAGAAGAGCTTCTCTCTACCCTCCCCTCCTGCGGTACTTTGTCTTCGATTTTTAATGCGAGAAGAGTTCAGCACTCTCTTCCCTCTGTGTACACACGAACTAGCGCTATCCACTAGACCAGGAGCGGAAGCGAGAGAAAAACTCACTTTGCAAGAAAAACTCGCTTACGCCGGGATTCGAACCCCTGGCCTGACCTCTAGAAGGTTTCGCGGATACCAACTAGACCACCGGGGCGACTCGCTGAATACCTCACGGTGCTTCGCGCTTGGTGATGCGAGAGCCTGGTCCGGTGAGAACCCGGCGCGTGCTCCGTCCCGGCTTTGTAGGGATGCGAGGTCAATGGTCTAACGACTACGGCATGCACGACTATGTACCCCCCCCCCCCCCCCCCCCCCCGTCTCAATCCCCACTGGCCCCGCCGCCGCCGCCCCCCCCGCCCCTGAACCCTTCCGTTTCCTCTCGGAAGAACTCCCCCGGGGAAGGGTCCCCATTCACCCGGAACTGGTGAAAAGAAAGTGGCATGAGAAGGGCCCGACCCCTGGAACCTATCAAACTCCTCCTGGAGCAATGGTTGG